GAAAGGGATCCACTGTTGGTCAAATTAGCCCAAGACATGTCTAAGCTTGCAAGCATTGTCAAAAGTCTCCGCTCCAACAAGCCTCAGTCTCTTGCTTTAGTGGCTACAAGCTGTGAAGTTTGTGATTCCGCTATGCACACTACTCAGAATTGCCCTGGACTATTTGAAGAAGTAAATGCCATATACCAAGAAAGAGAGGGCTAATATCAGAAAAGGGACCCCTGCTCAAATACCTTTAACTCTGGTTAGAGAGATCATCCAAACTTTAAATGGGGTGGGAGAGCAAATAGACCAAATCAATTCTAAGGTCATCAATTCCCTGATACTGGAGCCTCTTCAAGTAGTTTTCAAGATCCTTCAAGAGCTATAGTCACAACTTCACAAAATACTATGGTATCTCAACCACCGCTAAGAGGGGATGACACTTCACATGTCTTGAAGAGCATGACTGCATAGATAACAAACATAGAGGGGCGAATGAAGGAGAGTGATGATAAGTTTGTCTTTATAACTACCATCTTGCAAGGGATGCAAAAGGATAACTTAGATGTTCATAAGAAACTGGAGGAGCTCACTTTGAAAAACATCGATGTCACCAGTCATTTGACCTAGCTGTTTAATACAGTCAATGACATGCAAGCTAAAAGTGGTGGTAGTATTCTCTCTAACACAGTGATTAATCCTAAGGGCCTCAACACTATAACCTTCAGAAGTAGTAAAAGGGTTTACTTTGAGGGTGAAAGGGTAGATAAAGATGAGTTTGAATAAGATGTAGCAAGCCCTCCACTTTCCCGAATGAGGTTGGGCAAATCTGAGAGCTCAAAAAAGGAGGAGCTCATGATAAGGACAAGAACACAAGAAGACCTAAAAGAGGAGGTGACTCAAGTACATGAAGAAGTACCTTATGAGGCTGTATAAGGAAATGAGAACATTGTGGACAACTCAACTTACAAAGGCAAGCAAAAGGAAGAGAAGGCAGAGACTAGCACACAAGGAGCCTCTAAGTCGGAATGTATGGGGGTATATACTAAAGATCTCCTTTTCCCTAAAGCCTATTTTTTTGGTAAGAAAAAGTTTGATGCTGAGTTTGCTATTGATGCGTACACTTTATTTAATAAACTGGAAATCAATGTACCTATAATTTAATTCTTGATGGGAAACCCTAAATATTTCAAGTTATTAAAAGAATTGTGTAATGACAAACAAAGATTTAGGCCCCTCAAGAGGATTCAGGTGAGTGCTAATGTGTCATCTCTATTTAAGGCTGAACTAAGCACCAAGATCCTAGATCTTACACCATCCCCTGCACTATAAGGAAAGTTCACATAAAAGGAGCATGGTTAGATCTAGGAACGACTATAAATGTCATGTCTTGGTTAGTTTACTTGGTCTTAGGGATAAATGGCCTAAACGACATAAGTGTAGTACTCTAGCTAGCAGATAGGTTTATTAGTTATCCTAAGGGAATAATAGGGGACATTCTAGTTCAAGTCAAGAACCTAGTATTCCCTGCTGATTTCTATGTTTTAGACATGTTAAATGAACTTGCAAATGAAAGCACTCTAATTTTGGGGAGGCCTTTCCTCCAAACTTCTAAGACTATCATAAGCATGAAGCATAGCTGTATCACAACCGAAGTGGGAGACCATGTTGTAACTTTTAATATGAATGAAGTTATGGGTTACCCTTTTGATAATTCTACATTCATGGGTTTAAATGCCATTGATTTAGCTGTTGAGCAAGTAAGAGATGAACATGAGCTGAATATGCATGATAGCTATGACATGGGTTCACCTAAATTGATCGATTCTTCTGCTGCACCATCACATGAATCTTATGAGCTTGACTCGTCTTTGAGTGCATATGATGAATATTTCAATTCCCTTTCTTCTCTTTATTCATTTTCTAGTTCTTGTGGAGATGAGGTGCCATGCATTAATTCCTTAGAAATTGATAGAATGCTTTCTATTTCCTAACATTTTTATTTTTCTTCAAGTTTTGATTCCATTTTTGTGTTCATAGATGATGTTGCCCTTGGCAAGGGTCCTTTAGCTAATATTACAGGTGTTCAAGAGATGATGGATGCTAAAAATGGAGTAAAATTTAAGGAAACAAGCCTCTATGACCTGAGATTGTGACCTGAGGAATCTCAAGTCACGACTTCAAACCAATCCTATCAAGAAGGTGGCTTATGTGAAGTGAGGTCATGACCTGGGCATGTGAGGTCACGACCTAAGCTCCCTGTTTCACCAACTAAACTTCAGACTTTAATTGCTTCACCACCTTATGTCTTAGAGAATTTAGTTAAAGGGCCAATATTTTCTGACTTAACTATTAATCTCACACACACACTCTAAAATCACACCTCATACCTTGTGATTTTTGAATGATCTAATCTCTAACAATATGTAGGTATGGAGGTGAGCTAACCCAAGATCCGAGGGAATTAAGGCAAGCATAGTGGATCCAAGTGAAGCTGGTAAGTGCATTTCTTAAGAGTCAACAAAGGGGAGTTTCTCTAACTCTATTGATTTTCCTACTCTAATTCCTTCGATTATCCAACTCCCAATTTGGAACTTAAAGATTTACCCCCTAATCTTAAGTATGCTTATCTGGATGCTAAAAGTAAATTGCCTGTTATTATCTCTAGTTCTTTAACTAAGAGTGAAGAGTCTAGTTTGATGAGTGTGCTTAGTAGGAATAAGAAGGTTTTAGGTTGGCAATTAGATGATATTAAGGGAATCGATTCTACTATTTGCACCCATAGGATTCTGTTGATGAGGGTTCCAAGCCAATTAAACAAAACTAGAGGAGACCGAATCCTCTAATATTTGATGTGGTTAGAAAGGAGGTAGACAAACTTTTAGTGGATGGAATTATATACGCTATTTCTGATAGCGAGTGGGTGTCACCAGTACAAGTTGTGTCGAAGAAGAGTGGGATCACAGTAATAAAAAATGAGAACAATGAACTCATCCCAACTAGAGTGCAAAGCTCATAGAGAATTTACATTGATTATATGAAGCTGAATGAGGCCACTAGGAAAGACCACTTTCTCTTACCTTTTATTGATCAAATGCTTGAACGGTTAGCAGGGACGAGTCACTACTGTTTCCTAGATAAGTACTCTATATATCTTCAAATTCCTACAGACCCTAGAGACCAAGACAAGACTACCTTCACTTGTCCATTTGGAACCTATGCCTATAAAAGAATGCCTTTTGGTCTTTGCAATGCCCCTGACACATTCCAACGCTACATGTTATCCATTTTTGTTGAATTTATTGAAAAATACATAGATATATTTATGGATGATTTTACTGTCTATGGCAATTCTTTTGATAAGTGTTTACAAAGTAATGACAAAATTCTAGCACGATGTATTGAGAAAAAGCTTGTTTTGAATTATGAAAAATGCCATTTCATGGTTAATCATGGCATCGTCGTAGGTTGTTTAATTTCTGATAAAGGAATAGAGGTCGATAAATCTAAAATAGAGGTGATTTCTTCTTTGCCCTACCCTACCAATTTGAAAGAGTTGAGGTCCTTCTTAGGGCATGTAGGGTTTTATAGAAGATTCATCAAGGATTTTAGTAAAATTGCTCTACCTCTTTTCAAACTGCTGTAAAGAGATGTTAATTTTCAATCTGAACAAGAATGTGAGCTAGCTTTTGATGAATTGAGGAATAGGTTAGTTACTCCCCCCATTTTGACCTCTCCTAATTAGGAATTTCCTTTTGAAATTTCTTGTGATGCTTTAACCCTAAGTGTCAGGGCAATATTGGGTCAAAGGGACAATTCTGTCTCTAAAGTAATTGCTTATGCCTCTAAAACTCTATACGTAGCTCAAAGAAACTACACCACCACTGAAAAGGAATTGTTTGCAATTGTTTTTGCATTTGATAAGTTTAAACCTTACCTTATCAATTCCAAAGTGGTTGTATTTACAGATCATGCAGCAGTAAAGTATCTCTTCCACAAACCTCAATTGAAGACAAAACTCTTAAGGTGGATCTTGTTACTTCAAGAATTTGATGTGGAAGTGAAGGATAGAGCTGGCAATGTCAACCATGTAGCAAATCACTTGAGTAGGCTACCACTAGAGATGAGGGGAGTATTAGATTCTGATGTTATTTGTGACTCATTCCCTGACCAATCTCTATGTGCATTGTTTATTTCTCAACCATGGTTTGCTCATTTAGTGAACTATCTTGCTACTGGTCTAATCCCTTCTCACGTGACTACTTTTTAGATTCAAAAGCTTAGGAGCGAGCTTCCTACTATATTTGGGATTCACCGCATTTATGGAGATTATGTGATAACCAAGTAATTAGACGGTGTATTCCTAAAGTTGAAGCTCGTGCCATTTTGGAAGCTTGCCATGACACCTTATGTGGAGGACACTTCAGCACTGGGAAAATGGCTAGGAAAGTGTTAGATGTAGGTTTTTATTGGCCCACCCTATTTAAAGATGCTTTCACCTATTGTAAGGTATGTGATAAATGCCAAAGATTTGGGGGGCAAGTAGAAGGAATGAGAGGCCTCAACAACCAATCCTCTTTCATGAGATTTTTGACATTTGGGGAATAGACTTTATGTGCCTCTTTCCACCTTCTCATAGCTACACCTACATCCTCCTAGCCGTAGATTACCTTTCTAGGTAAGTCGAAGCCATCCCTATAAGAAAAGATAATGCACCTATGGTTTCTAAGTTTGTGAAGTCTACCATCTTTAGTAGATTTAGAGTACCCAAGGTGTTAATCAGTGATCAGGGAACTCCTTCCTGCAACAAGTTGCTCACCAACTTGTTAGCTAAATATAGGGTTTCCCACAGAGTGTCCACCCCATACCACCCTTAAACCAATAGCCTAGCTGAGGTGTTAAATAGAGAAATCAAGCACATTTTAGAGTGCATTGTCAAGCCATCCAATAAAGACTGGAGCTTGAGGTTGGATGATGCATTATGAGCCTACCACATTGCCTACAAGATGCCAATCGAAATGTCTCCATATCGGATCATCTATGGAAAATTGTGTCACATATTGGTAGAGCTAGAGCATAGGTCGTATTGGGTGGTTAAGAGCTGCAACACTGATCTTAAGGAAGTTGGTCTGAACAAACTTCTTCAAATTCAAAACCTTAAAGAAATGCGATCGAATGCCTACCACAGCTCCGACATCTACAAACAGAAGACTAAGCTTATTCATAATGCCAACATCCTAAGGAAGAGGGTCAAGGAGGGTGACAAGGTCTTAAGGTATCAAGCTCGGTTCAAGTTTAAGAAGGGTAAATTCAAGATGAGCTGGGATGGACCCTACATTGTGATAAAAGTGCATGATTTTAGGATGATAGAGCTAAAGGAGGAGGCCACGGGCAAGATATTCTAGTGCAACAGTCATCTCCTCAAGCTCTATGAAGAGCCCATGCAGCCTTCTTAAGGCCAGGTCATCCCTTTCCTTTACCTCTTACTTTTCACATGAACTTTCCTGTGCCTACATTATCTTGCTTGTGACTGTTTGAGATTGTGAAAGGGATGTCCTCAGTAGAAGTTGTCTTTTTAAATTTCTGTTGGTTTGTGTTTGTTTTGAATAATCTCCCCTAGTTTTGATTTGGATATGATTATGATTATGCTTCTGTCACCAACGTACACTCATTTGCATTCTTGAGTTTACCCATCTTTGCACTTAGCTCTTTTCTTCTCCCTAAAAGGATGATGTGTTGTACTTCAATCTCGAATTAAACTTGACAACTTCCACCTTCATTATTTTTGTTTTTGAGCTTTGCGTTTTTGGTATATAACTGTGTGCTATAATGAGGATATTGCTTTGAGTGTGTAGGGGAGGGAGGTTTCTATCTGAGCTTAAAAGTGGTGTTGTGATTTGTTTTTTTGTTACACCTTACTTCTAGAATAACTTAGAGTTCATTTAGAACCATTTTAGACCACATTGGATGGTCTTGAGCTCAAAAATCACGTTGAGGATGCTGGTTTTAGATTTTTACTATTCATGTGGTAAGTTCCAGTTTTCTAAATAGAGTAGTTCAAAATTTTGTGAAAAGATATTTGAAAGATCTTTCAAGAAAAAATAATCTTGTGAATCAATTCCTTTTGAGAAAGTGTCAGGTTTTTGTGGAAGTCACCACTGTCATTTTGGTAAAAATCCTTTTTCCAGATTTTGGACCTTAACTTTGAAAATTCACCAAAAATGGAACAGGTGCTTATTTTTAATGTGCTACCTATCAAATTGAATCTCAGGACGTGTTCTACATGCATACCAAATTCATGACTTACAACATTTGGGAACTTAGTCAAAACATAGCTCCAAGCTGACGGTCTACTTAGGGTTACAACATCCCATCATTATACATTTACATAACTAAAAGTCAAATGATTTTTATGGTGTAGCACCATAATTTTACCCTTGAATCTGTAGCTTCCCCTTGGATGATTTAGTCCCTAAAATGTTAGATTAATTTTGGAAGGATGACATTTCAATGAAATCCCAGTAGCAAGAATAATCAATCATAACATCAACATCCATTAATTACAAGCATTCAAACCTTTTGCTATTAGTAGGGAACTGCTTAACGTCATACATGTAGCACTCTAACATGAAATAGCCAGGCACTTAAAGCAAGGAGTATAGCTACACAATCATCATCATCATCATCATCATCATTTAGCTCAACCACATAATAACACATGAAATTGCAGAGCAATCAATGCAACAATTAACATTAAAGTTAAGTCAATCTTACTACCTTGCTCCAAATGCTCTTGCTTTCTTTGCTCTTCTTCCTTTCCTCCACAAATATCAAAACCTAACATCACAATCCATAAAAAGGGTAGCAAGATTACTAGCCAAACCATATAAAAATCAATAACAAAACTCAAGTAACCCCTTAGCCCTTAAAGCTTTAATCTTTGTTCTTTAACTTTTGAGCTTTGTTTCTTTAAATCCTAAAAATCCTTTCTTGGTTCATTCCTACATAATTTTTCATGTAGATTCCAAATATTTACTTAGATTTAAGAAAAGAAATCTCCTTCCTTAAGATCCAAACTGACCGAACACTTAGGGTTCATTGTCTAAAAATTACAACTTTAATTTTTAATGCTTCCAACACTTATACCAATTTCCTTTTTAAACATCATGGAAGCATCAAAACTTTGGAAATCTTATCCTAGGGTAGAGTTCTTAAAGTGGCCGAATGGTCTCTCTTGAGAAACAATGATGAAATCTTTTCAAAAGCAACATACAACCACTTGAAACCATCATGAAATAAGATGTTCTAACTATGTCTAGCAACCAAAACTTCCCTCCCTTCTCTATATTCATTTTGACCAGCACAATAAAAAGGGAAGAATTAAAAATTTCAACCATCCAACTCAAGAGAATCAAACAAGAAACATCATAGGACCAACCACTAACCTTAACTCCAAGCTTACTTGATCAAAGGTAGTTGCTTTCTCCTTGCTTGAGCTCATAAATATGGAAGATCGCTTTCTCTTTCCTCTTGGCTGAAACTTACATCTAAAAATAGGGGAGGATAAGCTTTCTTTAATGCCCAAAATATCTCATCTACCACGTTTAATGAAGGTCCAAGTATCAATCCCCTACTTAATCTTGTAATCTCTTTCTTAATTAAGAAAATCCAAATGTAATTAATTACCAAAAGTTAAAATCTTCTCCATTTAAGGCTTGACACTTGGTAACTGTAAAGACTCTCCATTAGAGGCTTAACAAGTGGCAAAATGTAGGCCAAATGAAGTGCAAGACTCTACTTCTTACTTTATCCGTGCACTTTTGCTCCGAATTTAATTTCTTTTATATAATTATAGTACTCTAGCCTCTGTAATTATTTTCTATCATATCCATAATTTATTTTCCTTATTTTTTATTCTTAAAATACCCTCTTTCACTCAAACTCAAATTCCTGTTAATTATATAAAAAGGAAAACTATTTTCCTTCTCATTATTGATTTTTCCACTTGTCGAAAGAATTAGAAAATATCTTGGATATTTTAGGGTCTTTTTAATCCCATAATCTCTTATAATTTCTTGGGATATCATAGAAACTTTCTTAGAATTTTATTCTCCTTAAAACTATTTATTTGGAATTTTCCAAGTAAAAGGCCTCAAATTAACCTAAACTACCCTTAAATTCCTCTGTAATTTTTTCAAGGGTAATTTGGTCATAAAATCAATTATACATCCTCATATAATTCTCAAGGAACATTACCCTTATTATTCCTTAATTTTCTAAAGCTTGAAAATATTTTTTCATAATTATTTTTGACCAATTTTCTTTAATTAGTCAAACTTTCATGTTTGACTTGGAAAATCAAAATAATTATTTTCCACCATAATTCTTCTATTTCGCTTTATCATCTTTAGCCCTTAAATTTTTAGGAATATCCTTATTTTTAATTACCATATTACTGGATGTGACATTTTTTGGGTTACTCCTTGTTGTGGGTGGTTCTTGTTGAAACTTGCCAAAATTTTTCAAATTTTTTTGAAGTTTTTGAAATTTTTCCTAATCTTCCATCACTTATTTTTGAGTTTTATATTGAATTCTTGAAATTTTGGTGATGGATTGCTGAGTTGGGTTGTTACAAGTATTTTGGTAAGTGGTTTTGGTATAGGAACTTAGAATTGAGGTTTTTCAGGACTTAGAGAGTCAGAGGGCTCTTTGTGACTTTAGGTCATGACCTTGCTGTCTCAGGTCACGACCTGGAGGTTAGGTTGGGAAGGAGAGCTCTCGGGTTGTTAAAGTCGTGACCTCATTATACCAGGTCACAACTTGGGGAAAGAACCAGGTAAAGGTTCTTTGTAACTTGAGGTCACGACCTAGAACCTTTCTGAAACCCAAAATTCCCCTCTGTCTGTTGAAGTCGTGACCTGACAAGAAAAGTTAGAAATTTTTTTGCTTATTCACCTCTTTGCCCTTAAATTTTCTCACCCTATTTACTATTTTACCCCTTGAACCCACCCTGTTTTTCAACTATGTTCATTCCAAGGATATAAAACCCTAATCCTTTCTTGTAAACTCACAAACCCTTAAACCCTTTTATCTTCTCATCTTCTAATTAACAGTAGCCTTTTAGTTTTCTCTCAGAGTTGAAGTCGCGACCTCTTCTTCCAACCTTTCATTCCTTAACTCTTCTCATAACTGCAACCTTTCACTTTTCCTTCAGAGTCATGACTGCTCCACTCTTTTTTAACGGTTTGTCCCCTCCACCACCATTAATCTACCCAATTCCAGTCTCTCTTCTACGTCTGGGTACCCCATTGCTTTTCTACCTTTGAAATTTCACTACCTCTTGCTTGAAATCAAGGCCCTGCTCAACTCTTACGTGCAGTTTATTATGTTTTTCCTTTCATTTTCTCTTGTTTTAGTTCTAGTTTCTTGTGTTTTCTAGGGTTAGATAGTGTTTGTCTTATTTAGGTTATAGTTTTGATAGAGTGAATGTGTGAAATCAATGGTTAGGCTGCTGTTTAACTGGTTTTGAAACTATTTGAGACCATACATTTTGACGAAAACTAATTTTGAAATAACTAGTTTTTGAATTCTGATTGCTTGTATTTTTCTAAAAATTTTGGAACTAGGTCATGACTTGAATGCACAGAGTAGGTTTTGCATTGCTGAAACCACCATTTTTATCTGCCTACTGCAATTTCTTAATAAATTCTGATTTTAACTTGAATTGGCTTTGAAAGAACCTACTTTTAAGCAATGACTTGGTTTGAAAACTTGAATTTTGACAAGATTTTCCCAATGGTTTTTAAATGCAAGTTCTTCCAATTCTAAACTTTAAGGTTTTTCCCAAGTTGAGTCTGGGGGGTCAACTGAGTATGGGGTTTTCTAGGTTTAGTGTTAGGTTTTTTTTCCTTTAGTTTTAGTTTGTTTCTTTGTGGTTTTATGTTTATTTTGTTTGTTGATTGTGTTGTTTGGTGTAGTGCTTAGATGTCACGCACAAAGAACCCTGATGTATCTAGGAGACTCAACTTTCAAGGGAAAAAGCAGTAAAAATGTTTGCTAATAGGGGGTGGTATAAGAGCGATATTTCCCAGAAACAGACAAGTACGACTTTTACAAGCTCGCTAAGGAGTGAGGCTTTGAGGAGCTCATGAAGAAGAGGAATAAAGCTAATTTGACATTAGTAAGGGAATTCTACATTTGCTCTACCATAGATGGGTGTATGGGGATCAGTTTTAGAGCATAGGAGTGTTATTTTAGTTGGGCTGCGGTTGGGTCTTTCTACAAGCTGCTTGATATTCCTCATTGCGAGTTTCAATATTTAAAGACCAGACTTGATCAAGTCTCCTGGAATGAGGTCTTTCAAACCATCAAAGTTGAGGGAGCTGGCTGAACTGCTAAAGAGAGT